TCGATAAATTTGGAAAACCATATCACATTAAAATTCATTTTGCAATATTCAATTTTGTGTACTTTTAAATACTTTAAATTTACAATTTCCCTTTGATCCGGTTTAAATGTGAACAACTTTACGAAGTATTTGTTCCATGCCATTCCATGTTTAGGGGGAAATGGATTGATCGAGAATATTGAATGGCTAACATTAAAGGTAGAAAAGCATTTTGTCAAAGAAAGGGATCTCTATGTAGTAGGATTGTGAAACATTTGTTTTATTCCCGTTCTCTCTAGTGTCACAAAAAGCAAAAGATGAAAACTTTATACAATTATTATTAATTATATATTTGAACAGTGAAAGTGTTGAGGTGATTCATTCCAACCAAATATTAATAATGCCTCCATGATTATGATGTTGACCTTTACCATGCATATACAAAATTCCTTTAGAATGGACCACCTCCTTATGCACGTGTGTGTGGGTCTATTCCGTCTTAACCTTTATCACGCATATACAAAATTATTTTATATATATATATATATATATATATATATATATATATATATTAATATATATATATATATGTTGGGGCTCACAGTCACATGGACATTCCTCCCCTAAACGACATTGGTCCTTTTATTTGTGTGAGCATTCTCCTTAGGATATGTTTGATCAATAAATGGGTCAAGTCAATAATTCTCAATTATTGGACGGTTAGTCATGGTCCTCTCACAGTCCCACTCTTCTTTTCTCCTTTAGAAATATATGTTTTGTTCGTTTTATTTATGTGGTTAATATATACTTTATTCTGCTTTATATATATATACGTTAACTAGGATTTGTTTTTAAGGATAATGTGGTGAGTTATTTTATGATATCTTTTGGGGGATGCATTTTGCAGATTATATGCCTTTCCTCTTATTCTAATGTAATGGAGTTTTTCTGTTGGTATTTAGCTTATCTTTTTAAAACTATATGGTATAGTTTTTAAAACAATTTACATTACTTCTAACATTTACTACGTTATAATAATCATCTTTCAATATTTCTTAATTTCTCATAACAAAATGTATTTATTTCTACCAATTTATCATTATCTTTTCATTTAATATAATATTGAATGTGTTTCCTTTTACCTTAGTATTAGGTAAATTACACACGCGTTTCACGGATTTTATTAAAATACATATTTATATATTTTTAATAATTAAAAAATGATAATTTTAATAAATATAGTATAATTTAGCAAATAAATTAAGTTTTAAATATTTTAATGTACTTTTTTTTAATATTAATTTTTATATTAAAATTATTAAAAAATGTGAGTTCATATAAATTTAGAATTTAAAATCTATCATATATGAACATAAATAAGTTATGCAAAATACCCTCCTAATTTTGGGAATTAATTGGCCACAATAGCTCTATTATAACAATCATGTATTTATCAATCCCTCACTACTAAAAATAAGACATTTGGTTAAATGATTTTACATCAGGTTTTAAGATATATGATGTGAAAAATATTTGTCAAAGGATATTACATCAGATTTCATAACAATCTGAAGTGAAAAATATTTGATTTAAGGACTTTACATCAGACATTTAATTCCACTCATGTGAAATATAATGTGGTGGCAGTTTTATAAATAAAATGAAATTTTGTTTTAAAGGATTTTACAACGGGCCTAGCTTTGCACCGATGTGAAAAGTCATGTGATAGAAAAAATAACAAGGTGAGAGTTTCGTAAATAATATGAAGTTTTGTTATAACGAATTTCACTTTGGTCCTAGATTTGAACCCGATGTGAAACGTGTTGGTGATTTTAGTATCACCAATGTATTTTAGTAGTAATGTGATTTACTAAAGGCCGATGCAATTATGCGTTAAGCTTGGAAATGAGTTAGGGAAGTGCGGAGTGCACGCTCGTCGAGCCAATGTATAATTGAACATGAATAATTGAAACGGGGTTCCAAGGGGCAAAGCCCCTGGCGGGGTACGGGGCAGCGCCCCGTTGGGGTTCCAAGGGGCGAAGCCCCTGGCGGGGTGCGGGGCAGCGCCCCGTTGGGGTCCAAGGGGAGGAACCCCCGCCCCGTTCGAAAATTTTGAATCCTTTTCCCCAACCGACATAACTGTTTTCCAAACAGGTGTGTCTTTTCGGTTTCAGTTATTGATCTCCTATATAAGGAGTCATTTGGCCTCGGTTTCAAATACGAAAAACGACGCTTTCTCTCTACATTTGTAATCAGTTTCTTTTGCCAGAAACAGATTGTTCTTCGAGAATTATCCCCACAAAGATTTCGTGAACCCAGGCAAGAATAGGGTCGAAATACTTTGTTCGGAAAGTGTACGGACACGATTCTTCAAAGTTATCCAGGATTATCATACCCAAATATCTAACAAAACGTGGGCCTTTACATCGGGCCTCGTAGCAAACCGGTGTGAAAACCTAAATATCACTAAAACCCTAATTTTCTTTGGAATCAATAAAATATTTGATTAAACCAAAAACAATTAATACAAAGGTGATCATCAAGATCCAATCTATAACCTATTTACATCATAAGTTGTGCTATGTAATTTCTATACTTGGTGGTGTTCCAACTTCTATGAATGATTGTATCTTTAATATTATTTACAACAATATTACTATCCATATCCTTGCTTGTATCAAAGTACATATTATTTCTCAAGTTCCAACAGTAGTAATAAACAGTTTCTGCCAAAGCCATCTTCATAATCCCCAATTTTTTGTCCTTGCCTTTGCAATACATGCTCACCCACTTCACTTCATCCATTATTAAGTGTCAACTTTTGTACAAATTTCATATCATTTATTGGCACTTTCAAACCCTTTACTTTACTTTTAATTAGGATAAGCACTTATTTTAAGTCATTTTGCATAAATACAAATAATTTTGAATGTTTTACTTTATTTGTTAGTGTTTCAGCAAATTTTGTGCAGATAAGATGGCCAAATGTAGATTTTCTGCTTTTTATGCAAGGAAATAAATGTTGTGTTTTTGTAAAGGATCAACCGGCGACATGATACATCGCCCGATGAAAATTGTGAAGAAAGGGTGAATTTTCTGGTTTTGCTTCTGTAATGTTTCGCCCCTGGATCGCCTGGCGAAAGAAGGATCGCCCGACGAATCATCCTTGTCACCCGACGATGATATATACTTTCCTACTTGTATATCACGCCTAGCTGGTCACATGTGGCATCTAGCTAGCGTCGCCCGAAGATGCTTTATGGTCGCCCGACGATGGTGTGCATATGACCATACTTTTTGACTACTTTTGCCATATTTTGGGGGAACTTTTCACCAACTTTTGTACTTTTGAGGGAAGATAAACCTGAAAAGGGAATAGAAACTCTTGTTCTACATATCATAACATATAAACCCTTGTTCTTTTTTTTGGAGGAGAAAAACATTCTTGCATCTTGAATCAAAGAGACTTGAAGATTGATGTTAATCAACATTCATTGTTTATTTCTTAATTAAGGTATCATGACCATGAGTAGCTAAGCATCTTTTTTGTCAAGGTTAGAAGTAGTTAACCTAAACTTTATGTATTTCTTTTAATCATTTTGTATATGAACTTGGTTGAAGATTAATACATGTTGAATATCTTTGTTATCATTGTTCTTTTTATGGTTTGGATCATTATTGAGAAGTAAGTTCTAAGCTTGACCTAAGATATTCATCTACTAATAAACAAACTACATGCATAGATTTGTGAGTTAGTATTCACTTGTATCAAGCTTTAAAGATTATCATGTTAATAGTTAGGTTGAGAGATCATTTAATGATTAACATGATAATACTCACAATATTGCTTAGACATGAGAAATGTTGATAGGATACGTGAATGTATCGATCTTTAATTAGTTCATATGCGTGATTAATCGAATATACTTGGAATAGGTTGATGAAAACTAATCTTGACATAACTTTTATCAAAACAAGCCTTTCCAAACAAAAACCTCTCTTTTATCCAAATCACAATATAGTGCATGAAACTTAATTTTTTGTTACTAAAAGCAAATACCAAAACTTTGTTTATAATTCAAACACTTAAAGTTACTAAAACTATAGAACATCATTAATATCACACCAATACCTGAGGAAAACATTAATATAAATACTTGTGTTGAAAAATGTTACAACATCCACCCAAGGAAGAGGGGAGTGATCAATATAGATCCAATGTAAGATATAAACCCTAATTTCACTAAAACCCAAATATCACTAAAACCAAAAATATCTTCTTTTTTGTTTCCTCGATTTCCTTACAGCGTAACCCACCGTTTATCTTCCTCTGTCACATCGAATCAATCCAACTCCATAACCACTCCTCCGCGAAACTCTCCACAACGCCGTTTGGAGGAAAGTCATCGTCTACGACACCGTCACACCGCAGCACCCTCACCAACTTCCGTTTCCACTTTCATTTACTCCGAACATCTCCTCCGCGAAACTCTCCACGGTTCCACTCTTTCACCACCACCACTTTCCTCCAAACCTCTCATATATCGCTCCCCTTACATACAACCGAAGCACGCTCACCAACTTCAACACCAGGAGCGGCCCACACCTTTCCTGTTGTTTCTAGTGTTGTATTTTCTTTGTTTTCATTATTCTTTGTGCCATGTTAATAGAGGAATCTTCCAACTAACCAACTGATATTTGGCTATTAAACCAGTTGTTTTGCTCATTTCTCTCTTGAGTTACATGTACTTAGAAACTGGATGTAACCACACTGTTTGAAAACTAACCAAACGACTCTTCATCCCAACATGTTCAACTTCTAAAATACTATAAAGTTGGCACAAGAACCGAAGTATCCCATTGACATAAAAGCATGGGTACTACAACCTAACTCTCACACTTCCTTTCTTTGTTACTATTATCACTTCTCATTTACAAAGTCATTATTTCTTATTCACACTACCAAGTGAACATCTCTTTCGATTATTCACCTCCAGCCAACCTTAATTAACACTCTTCAAATGGTGAGACCTTTCGATAATATTGGTGACATTAATGAACGAAAAGAGTTATGGAAGTTCGATGTAATTATACATCGCAAATGGAAGGTCACAACAACTAACAAGGAGTATTTCGAGTTGGTTATAATAGACAAACATGTGAGTTTCGATGTTCTTACCCGTTATTTAGTTTAGTGCTTTTATTATTACCCGTGTTCTTACCCAGTTAATCATATTGTATGCTATTATATGGTATATGCGTTTTAGACAAACAAGATTATGTCTCCTTTTATGTATGAAATAGTTTTGGGAACTTTTGTTTTTGAATAGTGGTGTCTTGGTATTATATACATTGTAGTAAGATGTTAAGACATATAGAAAACTTGTGTTTACTTTTATGTGTTGGTTTTATGGGTTGTTGATTAATGTTGTTGATTATTACGGTTTTAGAAATATTTTTATTTTTTTCTTTATTTTTTTTCTTTGTTCGTGACTATGTTCCATATGACGTTGAGTTTGTTTCTGACTTACTTACAGTGCCATGATATTCAAGTGGTTGTTCCAACTTTATTTAGGAAATCTTTTGACTCTGTTTTATTGGTTAACTCGAATTACACCATGTCAAACTTCCAAGTGGTGCCTAATGAATTGCTATTCAAACCTACAAACCACAAATATATTTTGAAATTCATTAGTGGCACAACAATCGCAAATATCGACAAACATGAAATCCTTGAAAAGATGACTACCTTGACCCCATTTGCTGATATTATTTCAGGAAAATGGCAGAAGTCTCTCCTAACTAGTACGATTCCTATATAAATGGTTTCCAATTTTTATTATTTCCTTGATTTGATGCTTCTTTTGCCAAACTACTGGTATTTTTTTATACATCATCGGAGTCGTACCAATCACAAATGGCGGGCAGAAAGGCTAAAATCAACTTCGTCTTGAGAGACTTGAGGTTTGTTTATATAAATTTCCATATTCCATAATAATCTAATACAGGTTGTACGTTCTATGTCTATACACTAACCACCTTTGTGTAACACTTTAAGAGACAACATGTTGCATTGTACGCTGTGGGAAGGCTACACAACACAGTATTTTGAGTTCAAATATAAACAAGTTGATCCATCTGCACCTACTGTTATAATTTTGAAGTATGCAAATGTGAAAGAAGAAGGTTAACATTCTCTAACTAAATTCCATTTTGTTTACTATTATATGTTACTTATCTATCTTTTTGTTTTTTCAGGGAAATTTCGCCTTTCTGTTACTAATGTGTACAATGTTTCCAAAATACATATCAATGAGGATGTCCTAGAGATCAGTGACTTTCTCCAATGGTCCTTACTTAAAAAAATTATTGCCTCCTTAATGATAAATTTTGTTGTCTTTGTCATGCATTTTTAAACTAATATTTTTGGTTTTCTGTATGCCTACAGTTTGCCAAAGGACCCTCAAATGGGGAAATCAAGAAACAACACTAGCAAGAGCACGCATGACTACTCACAAAAATCTTCGAGGTATTACTTATCCCTCACTGATAAGTTATTTTCAAAAGTTGTCCACCTCCCACTTGATGAAATTACGCTCTTAACTAAGGTTCGTACCAACCTTATTTATTTGTCTTCCACAATGATATCAGATGTTTTGATGTTATCCGTTTCTTATTTGAATTTTTCGAGCAGCCAACATTATGTGTAATTGTAGCTACTACCAAAAAACTAATTGTTGATCCTAATGGATGGCACTATAGAGCATGCCATAAATGTCCCCGGGTTGTAAAGTGTGAGGATCTGCCTTTTATTTACAGGGATGGACACCCAACTGAGGCAGAGAAATGAAGGTTGATGTTTCATACATTTTTCTAACCCTCTTTGATTTTTTTCTTCAAACTTATGAATCTGTTAATGTGTTATGTACTCTAGGTTTAAGATTGTGATTGGAGTTGTCCAAAATAGATGTACTGGGAACTGTGTTCTGGGACCGCAAAGTGGCATAACTTTTGAAAACATCAGCTGCACAACTTCGTTCAACCATGATACATGTAACAACATCATCGTTTTATGTAATTTATTATGTTCACCCATGAAACACGTTATAAATTATTATTTGTTACCATTTAAAACATAGGCAAGAATAACTGGCCCATTTGACTTCCCCCTGGCGTTGAATGCAATGTTGGGGTTGAAGTTTGCCTTCAAGGTAAAGTAGATCCATCGATGGAGTAGTGGATCTGTTGTCATGTATCTTAAAGATGATCAACTCTTTAAACAACTTGAAGGAAACGTAGATGTTAATGGAACTGAACATGTAATCTCCCTCTATATATGAAACAAGTCCAATTTTAGATTTATGTTTTACAATTACCATTACTGATGTTCCTACATTTCATTAGCCAACTGCCATCATTGATGCCATGGCCCCGTCAATTCAGGTGTTGCATTTGTACTTAGATGTTGTTACCCTTCTTGGAACATTCACATCATTCTTTTGATACGTTTTACATTCCTATACTTTGTTGTTTCATAGCATTCTAATCCAATTTCCTCTAGATGTTGGAGAGTTTCAACGAAGACGTCCCCTTTGAGAAACTAAAAACTGTAACGGTAAATGAAATATAATTCTACTAACATTACGTAAATTGTCTTTTGTAGAAACAACCCACATATCTAATGTTCTTTACTAACCTAATGACAGGATGGTGAAATCTCTTCGGCAAACATTTCTGATTCTGGGACCCCTATAGCAAATGTGAAAAGGATGTCACTTGACGATTCAATTGATTCATCGATAAAAACTTTAGGTGAAGGGAAACTTTCGTCTACTAAAGTAAAAAAAGTGGCGAAACGGGGCAAAAAATCAATAGTTTAGAGCTAATGATATACAGCTACATAATAAACTTTTTGGTGCCCACTGAACAATAACATGTTTACGTTGAGTATGTAAAAATGTACACTTTAACGCAATTTCATTGCAAGTTTTTGTTGTAACCCAGTATATCAACCCCTGCCATTGTGGTTTGGAATTTGGAAAACCTTAGCTACAAAACTATGTTACATTTTGGAACAGTTATTCTATGCAAATCATGTCTTATTGTATGATACTGCTCCTTATTTTTCCCATACATTTTTGGTACAACTTTTCTACGCAAATCATGTCTTATAATATGACACTACTACTTTTTCCCCCTAAAATTTTCCCCTACATTTGGTGCCAATTTGAACCTAATAAAAATTGTTGTCAAGCGTCTCCACTAATAAAAATGACGCTAATTTTTAAATGTCAGCATAAAACATGATCCACTAACCGTATGGATAAAATTTACATCTAAGTATGAATACATAACAGGAATTATTAGAATTATGCATAATTTTTTATTAACCTATGGAGGGAAGTGTTGCAAAGAAATTGACATTATTTGTCCCTGTAATGTTTTTTAGTCATCATCAGAAGTATGGATAGCAGATTCGAAATATCAGGTTCATACCTTTTATCAAGGGGGGCTGACATATCACATCATTTTGTATTGGAAATGTGGCTTACACTTTACGATGTTGTAACATAGATTACACTAACTAAACCCCATTGTACTTGATAGTTTAGAGGAATATATAGTATTAAATTTATTTTGTTGATTACAAATGAAAGTATTTTTTCATTAATATACATAGAGTTCATATCAACTACTATTTGATTTATTATATTAAAGCAAATTGAATTGTCTCCTAAACATCTTCTTCCTATCTAAGAATTTTGAGAATCAAGTTTTAGTTAGCGCACAAAGGGCTTCCATTAACAACGGTTTCACAAATATCTAAAGGTACCTTATCTAACATTGCATATTCTTGGCGCATAAGTTTAACATGTGTTATTCTACGAATCCTTTTATTTCACAAAGTATTGTCGTCATTTGTTACAAATTGTGTTGACCTACGTCCATTCTATTTTGCTTACTACACTAAATATTTGTGAAATTTTTCTAGTATATGCAACACATAGAAATACTTCAATTTTAACATCAGAAAAATGTCAAGACAGATGTTAGAACATCCGTTCTGACATCCTGAACAATTTTATAACAAAAACTTAAACAACAGAAAGATAAATAACACAACGATATGTTAACCCAGTTTAGTGATAACTCACCTACTCTGGAGGCTACCAAGTCAGGAAGGAAGTCCATTATAAGAAGTATTAGTTCAAAGCTAAACTAGTCCCAAGTTTACAACTTCTCTCCTAATCCCTACTCAATGCTACTTCTACCTAGGTCCTCCCTAGATCTTAAAAATCGACATCCCACTTCCAATCACTACAGTGATAAAAGACCTATCCCAGCCACAGGGGTTGTCTATAAAACAGATTACAATCATAGAAACTTGGATAATAAAAACAGGAAGATCACACTCCCAAATTACAATACTTAGCCAAGACTCTTGACCACGAACAATATTTAGAGTTGCTTAAACGCTTCCTCTAAGAATAATACTCAACTTATTTCCTAAAGGCTTCTCAGTGAGAACAATAAGCCAGCCATGTATCAAGTGATACAAGGGTGACAAACACATACACAATACACAAGAGACTCTCAAAACCTAAGACTATTTTCTTCCCCTAACTTTACAATTGTTGAAAGATTAAAGATACATTAGGTCATGTCTTCTTTAAGTACACTTCTTCAATCCATGGGCTTTGATATTCTGAGTCTAGAAGTTTATTGATCCACAAGTTGAGATTTGTATCTGTTGTGCAGCAAAATTTCCTTAAATCTTGTAACAACCAATACAAAGTTTCCTAATTAGTCTCAATCAATCAATTTAGTAACTAATGCATAGATGGAGATATAAACTTGTTCCAGATAAAATATTCTTGACCTGCAAAATTTAGTGAAACATATCTAGAAGCAATATTCCAAAATTAAAATAAATATGTCAAGATTTAAAATAGCAGCACCTGCTGTACTGCAGAACCAGATCAAGATGTCATGACATGTGCCTTCGACATCTGACTGAAAAACACATAATAATAAAACTCTTATGACAATTGATAAGAATGCTGTAACATTTTCCTCAACTACAACTTAAAACCATGTTTAGAAACATGCCTAGCCAAAATTTATCCAACCATAAAAACATGGAACTAACAATCTCCCCTTTCGCAAAATTTTGGTTAAAAGAACCAAAAACCAAAAACAAAACCTGGAGAGAGGAATATCACCACAACACAAGCTACATGTTGATCATGTAAACTTTGTAAAAACACAAATTAGAAGCTTGTACACATAGACGTTCAAAGAACTCCCCCTGTCACATATAATAGGACAAAACCGACACAAGAGCACCTGCAACGAAACAGCAAAAGTAATAACAACACACACACAAGCATGAAAACTCAGGCTCCCCCTTAATGATTGCATAAACAACCAAACACACATCTATTCTCCCGTAAGCAGTAGCACAAAATCTTATTATAATGCTAAATTAACATGTCTATACATGTGATGTAACATTAGGATACAACACTTTACTCCCATTTTTTAGCCAAAATATTGACAAAGAGAAAAACAGAGTAAATATACACATTGAAACCATAGAGAACAAACACAAGTTACATGTCAAACATGCAGACTTTATACAACACATGTCAATATCTTGTACATGAGGAAGAAGATAGCCTGACACTTCCTATGTGTTCTAGAACCAATTCTCATCACATGAGAAGGAAGAACCTTCTCTAGAAGCACAAGAGAACCCTTAAGAAGAAACATATGAAAAATACGTAACTCAGAGTATGCAACATATGTAACTCAGAGCACAAGACATAATGCTGCCTCATAACTAAGAACACACGACACAAAAACCACCCAGGATGATAGAACATTCTTTGACACATTCCTTCAAACCAACTGCAAGAACAAACTCTAGACTCACATGATGGGCAATCATGCTTCCATTAAAGTGTTGCACAAGACAAACAACACTTGATAAAATAAAAAAAGAATAACTTCTATGTTTTATGCATGATGTATTGCACAAAAACTGACTCAATAAAAAAACAAACACACATTTTTTTTACGTTTTTTTATATAAAAAAACATATAGCATATATCAACTATCCCACACAAACAATCTTGATTAGCCATTGAGTCTGAATTATGTAAGATCACATGGTCTTTCTTGAGGGACTTCACCTTGATTAGGTGTTTTCCCTGTCCTGGATGTATCCGTAGAAGTTACAACATCTGTTACTATGTTAAACACTACTTTCAAAAACCAGAACCCACTTTCTTCTTGATTTACAGCAGAAGAGTTTTCTTTTGCACCAATCACTTTAGAAACACAACTTTTGAGGATGATGAGTATGTAGGGCCTTTAACTACAAGGAAGGTTACTTAGGTTGTAATGAAACTTTTCTTGTAACAATACTTCCAATTAATGAAAGCTTTTATGGAGGAAGATAAAATTACACTTAGTAACAGTGAACCACTCACTATAGGAGAGATACACATTATTCTTCAACTTTCTCTCTTTCCAAGCTTTGACTCCTTGACAAAATGTTACAACATTTGAAATGACATTTACCATGCCATTGAAAATGATTCTTCTGAGATTTAACACTCCAATAGGACAAAGAATATAGTTGACAGACTGCCCAAACAGTTACTCCAATAATTCTTCAGTAGTGAAAATCCCAAAAGTACGCCTCATATTCTCAATGTAACATGTACCTTAAGTTATGATGAAAATACTTACAGATCTTCTAAACCATAACAAATAGGAGTGTCAATATAAACCTGTAGCAAGATTACTGACACAAAGATAACAGAATCAATGACTTTGTTATGCAAGCGGAATAAAATCCTTGTACCTTAATTGCAGTAGCATGTCAGACTACAATGTCATGATATCCAGTTTGACATTGTATTCTTCTAGTGATAAACCC